GATAGTCAAGCCACAATTGGGAGAGTACAGAGTCATATGTATAATGGTAAGTCTAGACATGTGCGTCGAAGACATAATACCATTAGACAACTGCTCACAACTGGTGTTGTCTCGATTGACTACGTAAAGTCAAAAGACAATATAGCGGATCCGCTGACCAAAGGGTTAGGCAAAGAAGTTGTGGAGAAGTTGACACGAGGAATGGGTCTAATGCCCTTGGACTAAAAAGTTCTATAGTGGATACCCAACCTAGTTGGCACCTAGGTTCAATGGGACAACTAAATTATGGAACGAAGCGCGTCACTGTGGGGATCTCGGATTCCCGACCACTCCTCGTTAAAACAATGACTCCCGCACGAGGCTAGCATGTTGATGCTTTAATGATTCTTGAGTATGCGGGATACTCGAGAAAGAATCACCTATGTTAGAGAAAAGTGAGGGTCGCTTCAAAGGAGAATTGTTGGGCACAATTCTTTAGAAACTCTCGCAGAACCAGGAACGGTGACCCACGACCAAAACGGGCACACTCGTGAGAACATAGCATGATTGGGAGGTTCCTATGTGAGATATTTTATCGTCTACACAAACGGCAGTCGGTTCAAAGACATCGCGTTCTACCGTACAGCTAGTAGAGTAAACATGTCTTCACAAGGGAAGGTTCAAAGGGTATAGTGACTCCCTACCTATCCTATGCAGGGATTGACCATTTGAATACAGTTGTTTCCGATTTCAAAACACCCCGAAAATCAATTTTCATTCATGTGGGGGATTGTTGGAAAAAAATAGCTTAAAATGGCATGTTAAGTGGCTATTTTGTGGTACAATTATTAGTGGGGTCCACTTCTGATTTGGGTCGGGTCAAAGTGGATTCGGGTTCTTCGTTGTGAGATGAAGAGATTGATATATTGTACGCTTAAAACAGATAATGGGTGAATGAGATATTGATTCTCAAAGTAGACCCATTTGAGTTGGAAAAATGAAGGGAAAAAGTGAGCTTTTATCCCATATTGGTTTGGAAAGAGGATTTGCCCCCCTTTTTATACAAAGGGGGGGGGGGGGGGGGAGGGGGTGCAAATCAAATTCCAACTAAAAACAAGATAAAAAATGCTTAATTCAAACCTAATCTATGTCGTCCGAAAATTGGGAGGCCTTGCGGGTTAAGTTTTCGGTCGAAACTACACTTGCTGCTTAATGTAGTTTCGGCCTTGTGTAGCCGAAATTGAAGGTAGGTTTCGGCCTGATGGTCGAAACTGGACCTGCACGAACCTGTCCTGTTGTGACCGTAGGGTGTTCAATTCTGCTGTTACGGAATTAATTCTCTGAAATTAATTCCAATTTTAATTTTTTTTGAATTGAAACCCATGTTAATGGTTGCTGTTACAGGAAGGTGAAGGGTTGCCCTTAAGTGCATATTAAAAGCTATTTAATCTCCCACCCCTATATAAGAAGGAGTTGGGCAGTAGAGATTTACACACAACAAGAAAGTATCTTTTTTGCCTCAAAAGTCTCTGCTTCTACTCCTTTCTTAAGCCTACTGTGTTCATAACCTTGCTCATGTTCGCCGGATTCCTTGTTTGGGTGCTCAAACATTGAATCATAGCAAGTTTTATCCTGGGAAGCCTAGGCCACAACACTCCTAGCACTTTTGGGAGGTGGCAAATAAGGTTTTAAGGAAAGAGTGATCGCTTGACTCTTGCTAAAAACCCAACACCAAACACTAGCCAATTCTCCATCTTTCCTTCTCTTTTTTTCCAGAAAAATAATAATCTTATTTTATTAGATTATTATTTGTTTTTCACCAACGGAATATCCAACAATAATTTAGTAACGATCAGTTTGAGTGTTTGTCTTATCAGTAACCTCGTATAAGATTATTCAATTAGTCAGTGTGATAGAGATAACACTAGGTGTTGAAATTAAGACTAGAAAATAAATGACACAAGGTATTGTTTACCAGTTCGATACAACAGTATCTACGTCTGGGGGGTCCGCCATCACTTAGTCCAATCCACTATCTCAGCAAGTCAATCATACAGATGATAAAGAGATCACAATCTCAACCTAATGTGTGATATACCTCACAAGGTAAGTACCAAATCTGATGAAGCTTATAGTGGACTGTTGAGTTGGAGATCCATGCAATCAACAGTCCGAAGAGTCCCTCGTTTGGAGATCCACGTTGTCGCTGTCCGTCTCACTAACTTACCCAGCACTGCACCACAATTATATGGAGTACGTCCACAGATAAACACTTGAAGAATGTCTTCTCAATAGGTCGCCTTAGCTCTAAATATCAATGTATTGAGAAGAAGATTATTCGAAGAATAGACTTTCAGTTGCACATAGAAAGAGCCTCTTGAATAAATGATAATCTCTCGTGTGTAAAGTCTATAGGGTTCAACATCCTTCTATTATATATAGGATCTCCAAATCTTTAATCACAAGTAATCTTCTAGGGTTTCCTTGTAGACAAAGATTACTTGAATTGCTATGCCTCCGATTTGGTAATTCTGACTTCACCAGGAAAGGTTTCGTAATTCCTAAATACGGTAACTGCTCTGTCAATCTTGAAGGAAAGTAGGTGAAGACATCAGCTAGTTTTCAACTCTTGACTGGTCTAGGATCTGTTTTGTCAGAGTCTTCTTCAGCACCATAAGACCTACACCTATCTAATTTGTCATAATATAGCGAATCATAAAATAGGGTTTACAATAATATTAAACACAAACATTATTAAATATGACGTGTCGTCTGTAGTATAATGTTTATGTACATTAAATTTTACGTTTATTAATATTATAAAAAAAAAAGCATTATGAATCTACAATATAGTGAATAAAAATATAATACATATAATGTACATTTAATTTAGTATTTATGGACATTAAGGATTATGTTTATGGACATACATGCATATAGGTGCTATAGTGTTCCTAGGATTAAGACTGTGTAATGGTTCAACAAGGGAAGTAGGGAGACGCTACTAGATGCCAATGCCACTCTCATAGGCATTGGACTCTCAATTAGGTTGTAGCCTCATTCTCATTGCAACTTAAATCAATTAAAACAATTAATCAAACACATGGTATTCACATATCATTTCAACTCCCTTTTCTCAACGAAAAGTTGGACTAGTGAGAGGGGCGGCTATGGCGTTGCTCTATTCTTATAGTTATCCATGTAGCTCTTGTATAATTGGACCCTAACTAGGCATGAACCTATTTAAACCACTAAGCTCACAACTAGAACCATCATTGAGTTATTACATTGTCTAGCATTGCAATTCAAATCACATAGCAACCATCATTCACAAAGCAATAATTGATCTTGAATTTTTTTAAAAATAAAAGACTAATTCATTAATCATAAGCAAAAATGTTTACCATGTAGATCGTTAGAATACAATGCATTCTTTACAGTCAGACATAGAAAAAAATTTCCTAGAAATGTTATAAAAAACTTTGTTAGGAACACTTGTATTAGAATTTTGATGATACCAATGTAACCTAGAAAGTAGACCCCTAACCGTTATTACTTTTTGATCGCTGCTTTCGTCCTAGACGAAAGTTGCCATAACTCATATGTAATTTGTGTTAAGATAGCCAAACACACGAAGGCGAGTTATGATTAGTTGTTAGGGTTATCAAGACCAAAGAAGACACGAAGCATGAAGCAAGTTCAGCGAGAGTTTAAGAGGAGTTGTCATTTAACACGAAAGGATGGTTTTATTAACGACAATTCTTTAAGACATCTCTTCCCACCAACAGCAAGAAGAATGTCTCCTCTGTCTGACTTGACAACATCCTAGGATAAAAAGGACCTCAACTTGTGGGACACGCATATCAAGGGACATTAAATGAAGATGTACTATTTCCTGGAGCTAAAGGATAAAACCCTAAGGCTCTCCATGCCATCAACGGCTACAAGGTACAATCTCATTAATGGTGCATTTAATGCAAGAAGCTCCCAGGTCCTTACCCACTGGTTAATAGGTTTGAAAATTTCATCTCCCTCCAACGGGTGGAATTTTCCTCACCTATAAAAACCCACCTTCATCAACTTAGAAGGTGTTGGTTCTTATCACTCGATCTATCCATACGCAAAAGCTCTTAAACGCTCTCAGCTCTCTCAAGCTTTTGTGAACCAGTGTTAAGGTGGAAAGATACTTGAAGAAGCTCATTGACCTCATCTTACACCTTAAGGAAGTCTTGCCATTTGAACGAAGCAATCATTCCTCTCAGTCAAGACTTCATCACGTTGGAGAAATCCAACTCTGAAGAAGAAGTTGATAGAGGCGGAGTAAACTCGAGGAGTTGAAAAACCTACGAAGGCTGTCCGGCTTAGTGATCAAGGAAGTCTTTGCGTAATTGTACTAACGAGTGATAGTGCAATCCTTCCATAAGTTGTGGAAGAAGAGTGGAGTAGGCAAAGTTGGCCGAACCACTATAAAAATCTCGTCTCCCTATCTCTTTACTTTTGCTTTCAATTTCTGCATCATCTCATCTTTCGCATCACCACCAAAACTCTCGTTATAAACAAAAACGTCCAAAGTAAATAAACGAAGTTAACATTTCCGCTGCGTCAAAAACACCGAAAGGTCATTTTTAGGGCAAAACACGAAAAGAGTCTATTTACCCCCCCCCCCCCCTCCCGCCCGCTCTAGACTCTCCTACAACTCTATCGGGACCAACAAGTGGTATCAGAGCCAAATACCTTGAACGGTAAAGGCTTTGCATTTACTGCCTGGTAGATCCCCTATCAAAATTCTGAAATCTGCACATTTTCAGCTTTGCACGAATTTTTTTTAAATGGAAAAGGATCATGCTAACCGCTCTAAGCAGCTTGCTTTTAGCCTCTCTAAATTTGTTGACTGGAAGATAAGAATGCAGGCCCTCCTCTGCTCCATACATGACGAAATGTGGGACGTCATAACAACTGGACCAATTACAGTTATGATGGCGAACACACAAGCGGCAGCTTAAGGGGCCGGTGCTGAGCAAATGATACCGAAGCCAAAAGATTCATACACCTCGGAAGAAAGGACAAGAGCAAACCTGGATAATGTAGCACGAAATATCCTCTACAACTCCCTTGACGACTCCTTGTTCCCAAGAGTCCGAAAGTGCAAGAATGCCATGGAAATATGGAAAGTTCTGATGGACCTAGGAGAAGGTGATGAACAGGAGAAAGACAACAAATTGACTGTAGCTATGAAGAAGTTTGAAGACTTCAAAATGCTTCCAAATGAGACAATCATGGACATGGAGCTGAGGTTCACTAGACTCATGGGAGATCTGACAGATCTCGGAAGGAACTATCTGAAAAGGAAAAGAATCTGAAGATACTTCGTGGTCTGCCAAAATCTTGGGAAATGAAAATCATCGCAATGAGAGACAACCGAGACATGAAAACAACGAGCACAGCAAAAATTTTCAGTGATCTTAAGGCATACGAGTTTGAGCATGAACCGAAAGATGTCGAAGAATCAGAAACCAGAAATGTAGCTCTCATGGCCAGCCAACAAACAACATCATCTAACAGGTCAAAATCTAATTCTTGTGATTTCTTATCTGATGAACAGTATGCACTATTTATTAGGAAAATGAAGAGGTTCATGAGGAAGAACAACTTCCAAGACTCACACCGTTCGGGCCACCGAAAGCAACACGAAAGTTCACCTCAAACCGCAAAAGCGGAAACCTCGGACTCGCAATTGCTGTGCTACAACTGTCGAAAACCAGGACACTTCAAGGACAATTGTCCTCATCCAATAGTGAGCAAGCATCAAGACAGCAACACTACCAAAAGCCCATCCAAGTAGACTGGAGAAAGATACAAAAGAAATGACAAGCCAGAATCATCAAGCTCCAGAAACGAGAGAAGAAGAAAGGCGATGGTAGTGAACGAAACCTCTGACACAGTTGAGGCCGAAAGTAGCTCCTCGAGCTCGAGTTCAGATGACGAAAGCACTGAAGAGGAAAAAGGACTACTATGCCTGTTCAGCCAAGAATCAGAAGATCTATGCTTTATGGCTGACGAAGATGAGGTAAAATCTCACTCATCCTCTTGTTATTCAGCTGAGTCTAGTTCTGTAGGGAGTCAAACCTCCAATGAATCTGTTACAGAAATGATGAGGAGGTTCAAAGTGATCAAAAGCACATACTCCAAACTTAAGGAGGAGAACTCTCGGCTCATGATTAGCTACAATGCGCTAAGGCAAGTTCGGGTTGAGAACATAAAGCTAGCCATTGCTAAGGAGCAACTTGAGAAAAATGTTCTCGCTCCGAAGGAACAGTGCATAGCAAGAGAAAAGAGAGAGCAAGAACTCCTTGAAGTCTTAGATAAATTCAATAATTCGTCCAATCTAATGGACCGAATGTTAAATGAATCTAGACTGCCCGGGGAAAAAACGGGAATTGGTTTTGACCCCAGCTCCTCTTCACAAGTCGGCTTGAACAAACCCACGAATGCATATTCTCACGAAAGCTTTCAAGCTGCGTTTGTTCAAGGTCCAACCCAGTTGTCTGAGCCTATGACGGAGGTTAACAATGTCGCCACACCACAACCAACAAGCCTACCGAAAGGAAAGGCTGTACAACGAATTGTGGACCCTCGAAATGAAAATTCTTACAAAGGCAATCCTAGACAGAAATATGTCAAAAGGAATGGACCAAATGGCAATGGACAAAATCTAAACCATAAGAAAGGTCAGCCTAGTAAGAATATTCAATCAAGGAATAGGCAGAATATTGACCAGAGGCAATATCGTCCAAAGCTAACACAAAAGAATCCTAATCAAGGAAACCCGAGAAATGGACGAGTCAGACAAAACGAAATATCTTTCAAAAGATCTGGTTATGGCAATGGATGGACTGGGCCATCAGAGGAAGATTGGTTTGATTACCCAGAACCTCTATCAAGAGCTGAATTTGAGATAATTCATCTGCGTAAACAAAACAATTATTCCAAGTATTATGAAAACCCTCTTGAAGAATATTTTCACGAGAGATATAATGCTAAAACCTTTGCCAGTATCCATTATGATTACCGCACATCTAATGGATATAAGGGACCAAGGATGAGTCGAAGAAACTCTAGGTTCATGTGGATTCCAAAGCTGACATCTAACCCTCAAGGACCCGAAAATCAAGGGGTACCTAAAAACACATAATCTTTCTTGCAGGACAAACAAGTCATATAGTATGTCGATAGTGGGTGCTCAAGAAATATGACTGGTGATAAAACAATGCTGAGCAATTTCAAGGAAGTTGATGGACCTAAAGTTATATTTGGAGGAGAAAACAGTGGCAAGACTCGTGGAAAAGGAGACATCATCAAACAGGGAATAACCATACAAGATGTATCATATGTTGATAGACTAAAGTTCAATCTTCTAAGCACAAGCCAATTTTGTGACAAAGGATACAAAGTCGAATTCTCTAAAAACGAGTGCAAAATCGTGAACACGAAGGATGGAAAAACGGCACTGACTGGTCAACGAAAGAAAAACATGTACGTAATCTCGTGGAATTCTTCCAATACTAACGTTTGCTTTGTGGCAAAATGTGATGCAGATCTTAGTTAAGAATGGCACAACAAGCTGAGCCATCTCAATCTGAAAACAATCAACAAACTTGCAAGGAATAATCTTGTGAGACATCTGCCTGAAGCATCCTACATAAAAGATAAAATCTGTGAGGCGTGTCAGAAGGGAAAACAAATCAAATCATCCTTCAAGTCCAAAGATGTGGATTCTAACTCTCGCTCATTAAGTCTTCTGCACATGGATCTTTTCGGACCAGTTGATCCAGCAAGTCTAAGTGGAAGAAAGTATACTCTCGTCATAGTGGATGATCACACGAGATACACTTGGGTGCTTTTCTTAAAGAAAAAGAACGAAACAGAAGTCGCTCTCCCCAATCTCCTGAGACAACTTCAGACTGAAAAAGAAGTCAAGATCATTCGGATAAGATCAGATCAAGGAACAGAATTTGTAAACAAAATCATAAAAGAGTACTGTGCACAGAATGGAATCTTACATCAACTCTCGGCAGCACGAACTCCTCAACAAAATGGAGTAGCCGAAAGGAGGAACAGAACTCTGAAAGAAGCAGCACGAACAATGATCGCTCACTCAGGATTGCCAAAGCGATTTTGGGCCGAAGCCATAAATACAGCATGTTACACACAAAACAGATCCTTGATCAACAAATCCCACAACAAGACGCCATATGAACTATGTAAAGGTAAAATACCGAGTATTGGTTACTTTCATGTTTTTGGTTGCAGGTGCTTCATACACAACAATGGAAAGAATCATTTGAGAGCTTTTGACGAAAGAGCAGACGAAGGATTGTTCATGGGTTATTCCTCAGTCAGCAAGGCCTTCAGAGTACTAAATAAGCGAACAATGGTTATTGAGGAATCTATTCATGTCAAATTTGATGAACTATCTGAGAAGAATCCAGCTGGTATTATACCATCAAACAATCCTCAACAAAACTCTAAATCAAATGAAGAAGAACTTTCAAATGATGAAGAAGATATACTATCCTCCTACACGAAATATCAACTGAAGATTTCTGAGCCCGAAAACACAATACAGGAAATGAGCAACGTACAACAAGTCAACCCTAACGTTCAAACACCATTCGAACCTATGATCTACGTACAGCTCCCTGATATTCCTAAAATAGATGCGCAGGCTCAGCAAAATACTCTTGAACCCGATCTTAGATGGTTAAAAGATCATCCTCCAATCAAGTGATAGGAAATATTCAAGAAGGTGTACGAACAAGAGCCTCTCTACACGAAAGCATGATGGCATGTTTCTTATCACAAATGGAACCCAAGACCATAGAAGAACCATTAAGTGATCCTAACTAGGTAATCGCCATGCAAGAAGAGTTTCATCAGTTTGAACGAAATGATGTGTGGGAACTTGTGTCGAGACCAACTCATTAGAATGTCATTGGAACTAAATGGGTCTTTAGAAATAAAATGAGTGAAGATGGGTTCATTGTTAGGAACAAAGCTCGTCTTGTAGCCAAGGGATACTGCCAAGAAGGAGGAATCGATTTTGATGAAACCTTTGCCCCTGTGGCGAGACTTGAAGCCATACGAATATTTCTGGCCTTTGCAGCTTACAAGAACTTCAAAGTCTATCAAATGGACGTAAAAAGTGTTTTCTTAAATGGGCTCCTTGAAGAAGAAGTGTATGTTGAGCAACCGCCTGGTTTCGCAGTTAATAATGAACATGAAAAAGTCTATCATCTCAAAAAGGCCCTATATGGCTTAAAACAAGCTCCAAGAGCCTGGTATGATACACTATCACACTTCCTTATCAACTGTTGATTTATGAAAGGAGCTGTAGACAAAACACTCTTTCGTATCAAAGACAATTATCACATTCTTCTAGTACAAATCTATGTTGATGACATTATTTTCGGGAGCACGAATCCTGTGCTTTGTGAAAAGTTCTCAATCCTCATGCAAGGCAAGTTTGAATTGAGCATGATGGGAGAACTTAACTACTTTCTGGGATTGCAAGTAAAGCAATGCTTAGATGGAATATTTATTAGTCAAGCCAAATACACTAAGGATCTAATTCGAAAGTTTGGCGTTGATGGAAAAACATCTGCCAAAATTCCAATGAGAACATCTCTCAGAATGGACATTGACAATGAAGGGAAAGATGTGGATCAGAAAAACTTTCGTGGCATAATTGGATCTCTCCTATATCTAACAGCAAGCAGACTTGACATTTCGTTTGCTGTTGGTGTATGTGCACGATTTCAAGCGAAACCAAAAGAAAGTCACTTAAGTGCAACTAAAAAGATCTTGAGATACCTTAAAGGGACGCAAAGTGTTGGACTTTGGTACCCGAAAGGAGGATCTTTCGATCTTGTTGGCTATTCAGATGCCGACTTTGCAGGATGCCGAATTGATAGAAAAAGCACCTCAGGAACGTGCCAGTTCCTAGGGGGAAGACTTGTGTCATGGTTCAGCAAGAAACAACACTCTATTGCTACTAGTACGGCTAAAGCCGAATACATAGCAGCTGGAAGTTGTTGTGCCCAAATTTTATGGATGTCACATCAATTAAAAGATTATGGCATAAATGCACGAGAAGTGAGCATTAAGTGTGACAACACGAGTGCAATTGCTATCACACATAATCCCGTCTTACATTCACGAACTAAACATATTGATATCAAGTATCATTTTATCCGTGATCATGTTGAGAGAAAAAATATATCTCTTGAGTATGTCAACACTGACGATCAACTTGCGGACATCCTCACGAAACCCTTAAGTGAGGCAAGGTTCTCCACTCTGA